CTCCTGGGGAGGCCCACGCCCCGTAGGTACCCCTAGATCCTGTCCTCGGAGGATGTGGGGATGGAGGGCTGCGTGTGTCTGGGTGCTTCTGTTCTTCACGACCTCAAGCCTGGCATGTGAGTGGTGGCTACTGACACTTGCAGCTCCTGCCAGGGGCTGCTGCAGAGGCCGGGGCGGGGGCTGTGCTCCGTGAGGTCTCTTCCTGGTCCGGCCCAGGGCCCGAGTCCAACGCACTGGGGCAATGTCGGAGCAGGGTTGACGGCGGGCCTTAGGTCCCTGGGGAGATGGGCTGGTGAACCCCAATGGCGAGCTTGCACTCAGCATCTGCTGCATGCCAGGCCGTACGTGTCACACAGAGGAGCCCCTGGCATCACCCCCATTTTACAAGTGGGGAAACCGAGGTGCAGAGAAGCAAGGCGACTTTCTCAGGCGTCACAAAATGGTCAGGCTGGGGTTTGAGGCTGAGCTGGCTTGATGTCACCTATGAGCTACCCTGGTTATTATCTCCATTTGATAGCAGAGGGCACAGCCTCAGAGGACTTAAGCAACAGGCGTGGGATCGCCCAGCCAAAACACCAGTGCAGCTGGGATTGGACCGGGTTCCAGCGAGGTCCTGGGCTGCCGGGATGCAGTGTCCCTATCATCTGTGCAGTGTGCACCGCCCGCAGGATGGGCTGCTGCCTCCTGGCGCACAGGTCACGGATGCCGCGGTGTGTCTGTGACCTACCCTGGGTCAGGGGCTGGTGCTGGGTAGGGGGAGTTCCAGGGAAGGTTGAGCCTGAGTGGGGAGCGCTAAAGGAAGGCCATGGGGGGTGGGAGGAAGGAAGGATGTGCTAGAGGCTGCTGTGTCCGAGGGTCCTGCTCTCTCTCCGGACAGGCCAGTGGGAACCGTCTCTCCCCTCCGGCCAGGGTTGGCAGACTTGCTGGACTGTCCCCTGGTCCCTGGTGACACATCTCTTTCACTATCTCTTGACCCGGATAATTAATTGCTTCTGGCAGTCGATAGCACCACAGCACCCCTGCTCTCCCAGGCAGCCCCTGGCTCACCCCACAGCCACTAATATGGCCCACACCCAGCTCCTGGCTGGGGAAGGGCCTGCAGTGGTTTTTCTTCTGGCGGCCACCAGGCTCCGGTGCCAGGGCAGCCTCTTCCGGGGGGAGCCCAGCAGCTAAAGCTAACATTTGGGGTCACTTGCCTTGTGCTCCCATGTGCAGAACCTGCATTATCTTTACAGGGAGCCTGTGGTGGGTCCACTGAGGGGCTTCTCGAAGTTTCCACCCCATCCGTCCCAGTGCGCCATTCCCAGAAAACCTGCTCTGGTTCTCACCCTGCTGGGGGCTCTCGGGCAGGGTGTCTGGCAGAGGTAACATGAGGTTACAGCGGATGCCCAGATGCACACCTCAGCTGTGAGAACCCCGGGGGAGCTTTCTCGCCTCTCTCTGCCTCCTTGCCCCGACCTGGGGAGGGTCAGGGTAGCTTGTATGTAGGGCGGGTGTAAGAATTAAACCGGTTAATAAGCATGAAGGGCTTAGTGTGCTCGGCATACTGAAACCCTGGGAACGGGGGCTCCAGGGCCCTGTCGGTGCCGGTGGCGGACAGACAGGTAGACAGACAGATGGCTTCTCCGTGCTGCCGCCTGCACAGGCCTGGGAGTGAAGCCCCCGGCCCTCCTGCCTGGCCTGTTCTTGGCCGGGAGCCCAGCGGCCGACGTGACCCCCCTTCCTCTAGAGGCGGTCGATATCCAGGCTCCTTCCTGGCGTCTAATTGCTCCTGTCGGCTGCTGGCTCTGCAGACTGCCCCACACCCCTTAGCCAGGAGATGGGGGGGGGGTTCTGAGAAGCACCCACATTGGGGGAGTAGGGAGTGGAGGGTGGGGCGGCAGGGGGGCAAACGCCCTGGTTCCCACCTCCCACCCTTCGCTGGTTGTGTGTTCCCGGGTGGGTTGCTGAGCCTCTCTGGGCCTCTGTTTCCCCATTTGTGACAGGGCTGTGAAGATGGCCCAGGGTCTGGCAGTGAGTGTTCGTGTGGAAGGGGTGTCATTATTGCTGTGATGACTGGTGTGATGGTCTTGCCCGGTATCAGTGCAGGCCTGTCTTGGCAGCCTGGACAGATGGACTTGGGGCTGGAGGTGCTCACGTGCAGTGGTCTGGGTGCCCCCCAATTCTTCCCTGATTGTGTGCCCCCCTTGATGGGCCCTTGGCCCCCCTTGAGAGGGACTGTGTCCCCCGCCACTGCATGGGCCGGGCCCTCTCTGCTGGGCCACAGTTCCTGTTCCTCTCTGGGCTGCCCACATCCACACTGCCTGCTGCCCCGCTGCCGTTGCTGGTGGCGAGTCAGAGCTCGGTGAACTTGGCAGCCTCAAGGAGAGCCTGCGCTGGGCTGGGCACACCTCAGCTGTCACTTGAGAAGGAAAAGAAAATATCCCGGTGGCTTCTAAATGGAAGGGCTGTGGAGCCTGCCTCCCTCTCGCTCCGCTGTCTAGGCAGCTAGCTGTCCACCATGATGACAGGGATGGGTGACACCTGGCCCCGGGGGACAGAGAGAGGGTCCCCTGTTCACCTGTTGTGAAAAAATGTGCCAGGTGGGCCCAGGAGGCTGTGGGAGCTGTGTTAGGCCTCCCCCTCCCACCTCCCCACCCCCCACCCTAACGCTGGAAGTCTTCAGATCCAACCTGCAGGCACCACTTCTGAAGTTACACCTGCCCCCTTGGGGGCCAGTGCCTGGATCTGTGGGGTCCCGGGGTCTATCTTAGGCTTTTGCAGAGCACGCCCTGTGGTTTGCTTATCTGGCCTAACGTGGTTCACACCGCCTGTCGTGGCAGCCATGTGGGCGTCACTTCCCTTTCTTCAAAGCGGCAGGCATCCCATCGTCCCCTGGGCCCCGGGTGAGCTTTGTAGAACCTGACCTGAGCCCACTGAGGGTTTGAGACAAGAAGGTGGGGGCTGCAGGAGGTCTACGCAAGATGCAGAAGTGTTTTGCATGAGCGGGCCTTGGAGACAACCGTGGGGAGCAGCCCCATTCCCCGGACTGGAGGATCAAGCTCGGAGACAGCTGGGGGCTCGCCCAAAGTGACAGCTGCCAGTGGAAGAGCTGGGCCCACAACGGGTTTTTGGACTCCATCTAGTGCTCTGCCCACTGTTCTGTTTCTTAATACACACAAGGGCACAGATGAATGAATTATAAAGGCGACATCATGTAAGCCACGTGCCATCTTTTCTGCAGGTGGTCAGCATCATAACTTTTGTGGGAATCACCTCCTTGCTCTACTTCTGTAGACCTCTGTACATGTGACCGTGGAGCTTTGCTTTTCTCAGATCATGTATGTGTGTGCAGTCTGGCTTCCGTGCCCAGCAGGAGCCTGACCTCCCTCCGCGTGGTTGGGCATACCTGCAGTTTGTTGATGTCACGGTGGAGTGCTCCGCGGTGTGGACACAACTACCACCGTTTGTTTATCCTTCACCTAGCGATGGGTAGTTGGATCATTTCCAGTTCCACTGCGAGGATGAGTAAAGCTCTATGAACACTCACGTGTGAGCCTGTGTGTGGACGTGTGTCTTCATTTTTCCCCAGGGAAATACCCAGGAGTGGAATGGCTCGGTCCCACGGTCACCCAAGTGTATGTTTCACTTGATAAGAAACTGCCAAACTGGTTCCCAAAGCAGCTGCACCGCTTTGCATCCCACCAGCGATGTCTGTGGCTTCCTGTTGGCCTCCGTTCTCCCCGACACTTGGTATTCTCGGTCTTTCGTTTTTGCACCACTCCTACGTGGGTGTGCAGTGGTCCCTCGGGGTTTTAATGTGCACTTTTTTTTTTTTTAAAGATTTTTATTGGGGAATTGGGGGGATGGGAACAGTGCTGGAGAATTGGGGGAAGGGGAACAGACAAGTTGCTGTCCTTTTGTTCTTCAGTCTAGTTGTGGAGGACGTTGCTTCACTGGCCC